CACCAACTAGTAAATTTATAATTGTCGCGCGTTAGGCTCGAATGGTGTTCTAAAGGACACAAGGTTTATACTGGTTCGGGCAGAATGTCCCTACGTCCAGTCTGCTGCTGCTCGTGTTATTAGTACCAAAAAAGATTCATAGTAGGGGGTACAAATGGTCTAGAGAGGGACAGGTCCCAAGTCTCTGATGGAAAGGTCGAAAGGACGCCAAGAGCTCGGTTGCTGCTTGGCTGTGTGTTGTGTGTGGAATCGATCCCCCTCTTTAGTGGGCTGCCCTGCTCTCCCTTTTATAGACCAAGGGGGAGTAGGGATTACAGATGGGAGAAAGAGGAAAAAACCAGAGAGTAGAGAAGGTCCTTCGAAGGAACTGGGTCTTCCTTTCCCCCCGTTCCTACCCTACTGACATGACAAACCATGTCAGGGATGGCATGTTCGCTGATCTTCATAGGGTCATGCCCTGGCCTCATTCAGCAAGTGGGTACATCCCATCCTACACTGGCAGATGATGCGACATGCCAGGGAGCCAAGCTGTGACCCTATGGGGAGTAGATGGGGAAGTGACCATACGTTCGTCGCTGCAGATGATGTGAGTTCTCTCTTGGATTATAGTGGTTGTCGTATGCTTGTGTCAGGATCCATGTCCGAGGGCTAATGGCGGCGCCCACAACACTGTAAGACCAAAGTCAGTGCCTACAACACTGTTCGGGCTCTGCCATGTCTGGAAGTGCCTAAAGCGCCCGTCCCGTCGTATCCTGACGGCACCTTCCTGCAGGTGCGTAGGGCATGGTCCTCGGTACTGCGGTTGACCTAAGTGTCATGTCTCACCCTATGCTTCATCATTATGAAGGGGTAGGGTGAAGACGTCGGGTGAGGTAGAGCCAGCCCCAGAGCTCAGACGTCGGGCGAGGCAGAGCCAGCCTTCAGCCGTCGGGCGAGGCGGAGCCATCCCTTAGCCATCGGGCGAGGCGGAGCCAGCCCTCAGACCATCGGGCGAGGCTGAGCCAGCCCTCAGCCGTCGGGTGAGGCAAAGCCTTCCCTCAGACCATCAGGTGAGGCGGAGCCAGCCCTTAGCCATCAGGCAAGGCGGAGCCTGCCCTCGGACCGTCAGGTGAGGCGGAGCCTGCCCTTAGTCGTCGGGCGAGGCAGAGTCTAGCCCTCGGGGGTCGGGCAAGGCGGAACCAATCTTCCGTCGTTCGGGCAAGAAGTGTAGTAGCGGTCTTGTCTAAATGGAAGCGTCAACGCTTGATGGTTGTTAGCCCTATCTCATTGGGTACCCCAGTATTAGGTCCCCGACACAGTCGGAGCAGGAGATGCCGGCAGCCCTGGCAAGACGCCCTAGATCTAGCGCCCCCAAAGCAATCTTCCTCTTGAGGATCCCACGCCCCTTGATCCACTTCTGGAGGGCAGTAGAGCACACCTCCAAGCTCTCACGGACCACCTTGCGCTGCATCGCTTTGGTGGCCATGGGCACAAAGGATCCGGCGCCGCCCGGCGGACATTGGCCCAGGAGGGAACAGCGCACCTAGGGCGGCGCCCGCGCTTGGTGGCCCTAGGTGGGTCGGGCACAACGTGGGTGGGAGAGGAGACCAGGGTGGGGGTGGAGCAGGAGGAGAGTCATCCTTATACCAAGGAAGGGCGAGGATGGGGGATGGGGGTGGAGAAGGAGCAGGGAGGTCAGAGGGGTCGGCGGCGGAATTGGAAGAAGGAAGAAGAGCCCTCAGGGTGTGGATAAGGTGTGAAAGGAGCCGATGAAGCATATGGAAGTAAGCAGGATAGCCCTGAAAGATGCCCAGCCCAACCCAGCCACCACCGAGAAGGCCCACCACATTGCCATGAAGGAGAGGCTCGAAAAGAGGTGGGTCCATGAAGCGGCCCATGTCTCCCTGCCCACCCCCATTGCCAGGGCCTAGCGGGTGAGGAAAGAAAGGCCTGAGGCGGCCTGCTGCATCAACCTGCTCCACCCTAGGCCAGGTACGGAGCACCTCCAAGTAGAAGAGGGAGCCGAGGACCCTTCCATTCACGCCTTTCCCGGGGTTCCCCAGGAACTGCTCGTCCAGGATACCCGAGGGCGTCCTCCGCACGATCACGACACAGACCGAGGATGTGTTGCCCAGTAGGCAAGCCAGGTCGATCTCCACCACATCCCCAATCTTCGCGAACGCAACCGAGATCCCGATCACTGTCCAGTGCTCGTCGGGGAACTTGGTCGTAGAGTTGGCGACGAGCCATGGCAGATCGACAGTGAAGCGATGGGAGGAGTCCTTCGACCACTCTAGAGTCAGTTGTGCCCCCTCATGAAGGATGGGTCACATGTCCACGTTGAAGTCTCTTTTGGCCATGGTGTCAAAGTGCAGCAGCATCTGGCCCCTGGAGGAGGGGGCCATGCAGAAGTGGACCCTCGGAGCAACAGAGAAGATGGCCAAATGGATGAAGGGGGTTAGAGAGTGTACCATGCCATCCTCACTGATGAAGACGTAGGTGATCCTACTAGCACGCTCCATGTCACCTTCCGGCATCCAGAGGAAGTCACGGTCAGCCTCCTCCGAGTCCCCACTGGCTATCGCTCGGAAATAGGACCTGTACGAGTCCACCTCGTCCCCAGAGTCCTCCTCCTCTCTCTCCATGTTGCCACGCGCATGGAGAGAGAAGTTGTCGATGTCCTCCATGCCCCCGGCTGGAGGAAGGGGGGCACACCGCGGTGGGGGCGGGAGGTGGTGGGTGGAGGGGCACGGTCCCCCAATGGGGGCTCAGTCACCGTGACCTAGGCTGGGCGGGTCAGGGAGCCCACGCAATGCACCTCCAGGAAGCGAGTGGGAGTAGGAGTGAAGTGCAGGCGACCTGTCATGACTGCACTGGCGACAGCGGATGAGGGGAGGACCAGTGGTAAGCTAACCGTGGTGGCAGGATTGGAGCTAGAGGAGGAGAGAACGTAGTAGGGGTGGAAAGCAGATGGCGTGGTGGTGGTGGGTGGGGAGCGGGGCAGACCCAAGACAGAGGTGGGAGTAGGGGCGAGGGTGGGGGTGGGCGACGACGAGACATGCCTTGCCACTAGGCGGATCGGCCAGGGAGTGTCATGGCATGGCATCCTCCGCAGGGACCTGCAGGTGCGCTCCATGTGTCCCACGACACCACACCGCCGACAGCGAATTGGATCTCGACAATCATGGATGAAGTGATCCGAGGCAAAGCACCTAAAGCAGGCGGAGGGAGGACGACGAAAGCTCTTCGTGGTGGGATGCTTCAACTGGGGGCGGCCAGGGGTTAAAATAGCCTCCTTGTAAGAGCGGGGGGGAGAAGTAATTCCGGCGTTGGGCTCGAGACCTGGGCAGATTACGCCGACATTTCCCACCGCCGAGTGAGCAATACTACCGGCGTTGGGCTCGACGAGCGGCGAAGTCCCATCGCTGTTGTCCTTGGTCGAGTACATGTCGGTTAGGGGAGATGGAAGTAGAGGAGGGGGGCTAGAGTCAGAAGGAAGCAGGAGGAGATACGCTGATCCCTTAGGGCGGATCCGCTGCTGGGCAGGCCTGCCAGTGGATTTGGGGCAGCACTGGTTCCCTGAGGGAACATTTGACATTCCCGTGGTGGGGGCAGAGGATCTTGCGTTTGACGTTCCCGCGGCGGGAGCAGAGGATTGCGCATTAATGGCGTCGTTGCCCGCCAGGGCCAGCCTGTCCAACTCAGCTTTAGCTTTGCAATGGCTACTGTGCAGGGAAATTTGAAACCTCCCGCTACCCAAGCTACTGGCGAGGCTGCAGAACACGACCACCGAGCGGCTGGCCATGGCCGCCGAGAAGAGCATCGGCCGAGGAGATCAGACTTTAATGGTGACCAGGGGGCAGCTAGATGGAACATGAGGGTGGCGGCGACTTGGCGACAGCTGAGGGGCACTGGGTGCACCAACGTGACCCAAAGTGTCCCTCGGCCATGGCCGGAGACATCGACGAAGAAAGGAGCGGCTAGGGTGGAGAAATCAAGGAGAAGACGGTCCTGGAAAGCAATGCCTGGTCGGATCGTATGGGAGAGAACGCGTACCTAAGCTTTTTCCGGCGCGCAGTGGCGGACTTGGACCTAGGCGGCGGACGAGCTGTGGAGCTCCGCTTGGACACCTCGGGGCGCCGGTGTTGTGGTAGGAGAAGGCTCCGTGGCGGGTGGGGTGAGGCTCGTCTGGGTTTGGGACGGGACCTTTTGGACGGCGGCGCTGGAATCGGGGCAGGGGAGGGTGTCGCTGGCGTTGGGAGGGGAGTCGGGGGAGGGTGGAGCCATGGGAAAAGGAAAGTAAAACCAGCAGACGGCTTTTCGAAATGGTGAAATTAAATTTCAAATGAAGACACACCTTAGGATCTAGCTTCATAGTAGGGCAATTCCTGTTCACCTAGTGTAACTTTGGCACTATAAATAGTGCTGCTATGCAACAAAGAGAGTGTTCTTTATTGTAAACAGAATCTTATCTCACTTGCATTCACATGCTACACCTCATTGCACTGTCTAATACTTCGGTCATAGATAACACTAGGTATAAACTATAAACATCACTTAACATATATGACGTCGATTGGACCTTCTTTCTTTTCATGTGGTTGCACATGATTGTAATTTGTCTCTTTTTTAATATATGCACATGGAAATCTCGCTCATGTTTATATTCCAATGTGATTGGACTAATATAAGTTTTGCAACTATACTTATTTGGTGGCCTAACATTTGTTTGTAGCTTTGTGTGTTCTCTTTTTAAAGATTTTTTTAGACGTAATAATAGATTTGTTCCATCTTCAAATCTCTTCAAGAAGAGGCATCAAAGTATTAGACATTGATTGATTATTACAAGGATGACTCAAAGATCACAATGCGTTGTTGAAATGTGTTCACAGTTTAGACATACTAGACATTAGCATGATAGCATATTCTTCTTCTTCTTTTCTGAACGTGGTAGCATATTATTCATTTTCATCAACACAATACAAAGGTGCTTTCTTGTCCGTTCTTCTCTTCCACGGCTGCTATGTTCTGGTGTCTTGGCAGAGTGCAGTGGCGTGGGTGGTGAATTTTCTATAGCGGAGCTGCCGCCATATATTGCCACTGTCACCGCCGCGCCTCAGCTTGAGAGCAAGCAGGACGGCCTGCAGACAGGAACGATGGTGAAGGTTACAAGATTAATCCAATAGGCTACAATTAATTAACAGCTAGTATGTAGCAATGTGCTGTGACTTGTGATGGTCTGGTATGAACTTACGTTGTAGATGTCGTGGTGCATGGCTCTGTTGATGGCCTCCACGGATGCCTCCTGGAGAGCAAGAGCCTCAGTGACCTCCCCACCGGACCACGCCGCCGGCTTCACCCCTGCCTCCGCCTCCGCCTTGTCATGCATCGCCGACAGGTCGAGCTTCACCTTGCACCAGTACGCCACCCGCTCCTCAATCCAGTCAAGCTCCTGCGTATTCTTATCGCTGCCGCGGCTCGCCGGTACTACCAGAATCTGGAATTACCCTGGGGGCTGAGAATCTCCTTGAGTGCCAAGACGAAACGACGGTCACGATGAACTCTCCGAGCGGCACCTTCTTCTTGTCCCTGTCCCAGCTCTGCTTATACACGCCTCCAACCTTCAGCAGCTCCATGACAATGTCGTCGTCGGTGCCGTTGCCGTCCTGCTGGCCTTGTGCAGCTGGCACTTCCAGGTAGACGGTGAACTCCTTCATTTCTCCAGCGGACACATCGCCGACGACGACCTTGCCAGACGTCTTGCCACCACCGATTTCGCTCTTGTAGAAAACAAGAGCATCGTTATAGGCCCAAGACGACTCTAGCTTGGATACGAACACCCCAGGGTGCAGTGTCGTGAGGTCGATGGCCGTGTCGACGGCGACGACGGAGGTGAGCCTGACCGAAAGCTGGTCCAGCTTCTCGGCGAGCTTCGTCTCGAGGTCGTTCTCGATGGGAGTATAGCTTCCCAGGGTCCGGTTGGCCATGGCTTTCAGCTTGGAGGGACTGTGTTGTGCTGTGAGACCCAAAGCATGGATTGGGTACGCTGTCGGGATGTCTTTCTCTAAGAAGGTGATGTCGTCTCCGTTGGAGACGAAGATGGTGAAGCCTAGACTACGCCGCTTCTCCGGCATACTGCGCCCATCTAGGATCTGCATGTAGCAAGCCGTGCACATCAGCACACTGATTAGACATCGGGGAAAAAACAAACAAAATTAAAAGTAGTTGAATTGAATTTTGCCTCCATATATACTACTACTAGTCTACAATCTAAATCTAGTTTCTAAAATTACCTTTTTGGCCTCATTTAAGCCAACAGAAAAGGTGAACGGCCGGCCCATGGCTTTCAGCGCATTCACAGTCTCCGTGGCACTTTGCTGGCCTTCGGCAGTCATATCGAAAAGCTCCGTTCTCGTCGCAACCTCTTGGTCGAATCCTATGACGGCAAGGCGGTTCTGGGCGGCGACACCCAGGTTCTCGATCACCTTGGCCATGGCCTCCTTCACTTGCACCAGCCGGTCGTTCGGTCGGTGGCCGCACTTGTCGTCGAAGCCCATGCTCCACCTCAGGTTGATCACCGCCACCACATCCACCAGGGCGCGTTCGCGTTGGACCATCTCCGGTGGCGCCCCCGTGACGCGCACCTGTCATCGGGAAGTCACTGTAGCTCTGGTCCCAGCTGGGTATCGACGGCACCCTTATGAAGGTGCTCAGTTGTAGCATGGATGCCGCCGCCTCCTTCTTTAGCCCTGGGAGTTCGGTTCTACCGAACCGAACCGATCGGTTCTTCGGTTTATGAAGAAGTTCGGTTCTTACAAAATCAGTACCGATCGGTTCTTCAAAAAACATAGAACCGACCAAGTTCGGTATCGGTTCTTTCAGTTCGGTTCCGGGTAGAACCGAAAAACCGAACAGGCGCAGCGCTGGGGCAGCAGGGCAGGGCGGCACCACGGTAGGCAGGGGCGTAGGGCCGCAGGGCGGACGCGCCCGCAGGCGCAGCATAGGGGCAGCAGGGCAGGGCGGCACCACGGCAGGCAGGGGCGCAGGGCCGCAGGGCGGACGCACCGGGCCGCCGGTAGGGCACGCAGGGAGGGCGCGCCGGGCCGCCGGGGCATCCGCGCGCGGCGGCGGCGTGGGTGGCCGGGTGGGGATGCTATGGCGCGGGTGGGGATGCGGCGCCGGGCTGGGGAGTCCGAGAGGGCGCGCCGGGAGGACGCAGGGGGGCGCCGGGAGGGCGCGCCGGCCGTCGGGGCAGGCGCGCGTGGCGGCGGCGCGGGTGGGGATGCGGCATGGGTGAGGAGGCCGGGAGGTCTCGGGGTGGAGACTGGAGTGGCTCGGGTTACTCGCTCGGGGTCAAGGCGTCAACTGTGATGGGCTTCACCTGGGCATACTGAGCGTCGAGCAGCTAACAGGCCGGTTTGCCTGCTGATGGATCGACAGCGGTGGCTGCTAGCTCCGGTAGCTTCTGCCAGAGCTGGGCCTTACTGGGCCTCCGGTTCTTCGGTTATTTCGGTTAACCGAGGGGAGGAACCGATTTAACCGAACAAAGTTTGGTTCCTAAGAACTTAGAACCGAACAGGTAACCGAAATTTCGGTTCTCGGTTAGTTCGGTTCGGTTCTCGGTTAGTTCGGTTCGGTTCGGTTCTCGGTTCTCGGTAAAATTTGCCTTGGGCTATCCTTCTTCACGGAACACAACAACATACAAGCCAGGACGATGGAATAGTTCAATATGAGTTCACACATGTGTTCACATGTTTGAGTGAACTATAGCAGAGAACTTTGCATACCTGCCCGGCCATCTCTGCTGGTTTCAAGATTAGCTGCAAGTGCACTAGCTACCAGCAGGCTTCTCTCTCTGTGCTCAATGAGACATCATTATATCTCAAGGGAATATATAGAGACACATGCATGGAATGTTTCTAATTCGTTGGGTAGGGTCAGCAACAGAGACATACATCTATGGCGTACGCCGGACCATCTTCACGTGCATGCATTAGTTCGGATGTCACATCCAGGTAGATACCGCTTAGATTGCAATAATTCTACTAGAGGATGCCCCGATCTACCTCACTGATGGAAAATAACCTTCATTGTTGTAGGAAATCTGTGATACTGCTTAAAAAACGGCAATCCTAGTGCCCTAGGCCTGTGTCCGGACACGGCTCCCGTTCGCAAACCTGCTGCACCCCCCTCATGTAAAATTGATCGATCGAATAGAATTGCGTCGGCTGCGTCGCGCAACAGGAGAGCGCGCCCGCCACGACCAAGTCACCACGCGCCTGCGCCCCTGCTCCCAACCACGATGTACGCCAGCCCCTCTCCGCCCAGCACCCATCCCGCACCGGAGGCAGCATCCGCCTGCATGGAGCTCCCTCACTTGCGTCCGACGCACGCAGCTCCCTCGTCCCGCGCCCATCACCCATCCCTTGTTCGTATGGATGCCCCTGCTGGCTCTGGGAGAGACGATGCAGCAGAAGGTGAGATGGGGAGAGATGCAACACCCGATCTACATTTAAAATATCCAAAAACAATGGTTGCAACATACGTCTGAGGGCAGTTGAAACACTTGAAACATGCTTCTGAAACACTTGAAAAACACACTTGAAAACCATAGCAACCATACGCAACATCCGAATAAAACACATGTAACATATGTGTGAAACATATGCAACATTCAGATAAACACAATTGCAACACGCGTCCGGAAAACACAGATGAAACATACCTCTGAAACATATGAAACACTCGAAACATACTATTGCAACCTGCCTCTGAAAACAATTGCAACTATGCAACATCCCCCGATCTACTTTTGCAACATCCAAATGATTCAACTGAAATATACCTCTGAAATGTTTGAAACAATTGAAACATACAATTGCAACATAAGAGGTAGAGAGAGAGCCTTGCACGGGGAGCGCCATGGCAGCCAGATCTGCGGGCATTGGGGGCTCCCGGTGGGCGACGACGCCGATGTGGGGGAGGGGCGCCACCGGGGTCAGGGGAGGAGGACGCTGAGGTGGGTGAAGGAGCCGCTGGTGTGGGGGAAGGAGCCGCGGGGTGGGGGAGGAGGATGCTGCGGTGGGGGAGGGTCGTGACCGCCATGTAGTGGGGGGAGGGGATGCCATGGAGACCGCTAGACTTGAGGGAAGGCGCACGTCGAGGAGGGGGTGGCTGGATCCATGGAGGGGAGGGGAAGAGGCTTGCTCGAGCCGCCATGGAGTGGAGAGAGAAGGGCATGGCTGTAGCAGCGGAGAAGAAGCGAGCTAACGGCGGCGGTGCGGTGGAGGCGCCCGCAGCGGCGATGCGAAATGAAGAACGATCCGTCGCTCCATCGATTTTATTTCATTTTTGTTTGGCGGGCTAGGAGCAAGCTGTGGGCCGTTCCCATAGGCCTAGCTAGCCGCGTCCGACACGGGACGAACACTCGTGCAATATCATTGTCGCTTAAAAATGATTTTAACAGGTATCTTTATTTTCTTTTCGGCCATGGTTCAATTTCTTGCCACCCCTCAAAATAGAATAGAGATTAGTGTCCTATGTCATGACTCACAGACTGGCTCTAAAAATTAAGTCTTATGGACAGCTGGTGCAAAACGTTGACGACATTACAGGGCTTCCAAATATTTGGTGGTGGAGGTTCACGTGGTCCCACTTTATTTATTTGTCTGCTTCTCTCACACGATACCTATCCACCGACATCTCTCTGGCTTATCTCTTTAGCTCCCACCTCTTCTCTCCCATCTCTCTTCCCCATCCACTTCCACTCTCTCTTATATCATCCATGGAGTCCACCCACGTGGCCGTGCAGGTGGCGCTCCATGGCATGCCCTGCTGTCTAGTATGAGAAAGCTCTGCAAAGACGAGCAACAAGGCTTTACAAAGGCGGCCTCAGCACCTGCCTCTGCAACAACATCTCTCTTAATAAGAAGTATAGTGCTCGTGCTAATGTCACAGTTTCATTTCAAAGGTGTACATGAAAAAAACAACCAAACGATGATATTTTTTTCGATAGTTCAAGTTTCACACAATTGTATATCACCATGTATATAATCCGAAAAAGAGTTATGCATAACAAGGAATAATAAAGTTATGTCTCGCGTGAACCCTCTAATTTACAATCTGCTTAAGACGCAACAAACATCACTCCATGGTGGGAAAATGAACCTGAAATTTTAGAAATCTTGAGGCGACGAAATCATGTCACAAGGCTGCAAGGGAACAAAAAAAATCATTCAAATTAACTTCCTAGTATATTGCCCGTGTTAACGCTACAGCCCCATTAAGTCCAGAGTTAAATCTATCAAATGTGTTCTATGGAATTTTCTAGTTTCATATTGTAAACTGACTGCACGAAGATACAGAAGCAAGCCTTTTAAGCAAGGAAAAACTATTCTCTGCTTCAAGGTGTGAGAAAATGTTGACTATCACATTCACACAGTTTACAAAGTCAATACCTTTGAACCTACTCCAAAAGCTATGCCACAAACGCACACAAAATTCCAACAAATGTGGTTCTCAGCAAAAATGAATAAAAATAAAAAAACACATGTAACACAGCCTCTTACAGTGATATTATATTGCCTGTTCTAATGCTACGGGTTACATTAAGTCCAAAATTAATTCTATTAAATTTAAAGTACTTAGCTAACCCTACGGGCCACACCTTTAACCGAAGCCTTTTACTCGGCCTTGTCCCAGAGAATAGAGGGTTGCGGATGGTACCAGTGCTCTCTTCTCCTCCATGTCATTGTTGGCACTGTCCACCACTTCCATGCCTGGGCACCAAGAGATACAAGTAGTGAATATGGAGAGAAATGAGAAATTTCATGTGAAATCAAAAAAACAATGTCCAAGTGCAATCGAGCAAGCTTCTATTCAAGTAGTTAAACTGAACATAGTATTTTATTACAGATCTCAGTTGCAGAGCCTGAAATAAACTTATTTAGTGAAACATACTAAATGACAATGTTAAATCATCCACTCCGGTTCACACATCCAAAATTTCTGAAGTAAACGATCAAACTGCATATTCCACACGTAGGCATAAAAAAAGTACAGTATTTCAATATTTAAACAGGTTGACGGAAGCTATTCTGCAAATCAAACACTGTCCTAATGCCATAGAAATAACTCTCCTTTGAGAGGTTAACTGAACATGCCTTTTTTTCTGTATACAATGGGAGGGGTTTAAAGATTGCTTTCAGCTGACAGGTAAACTGAAAAGGCACAATGGCTGGACATGCGTCGGCGGAGCGGAGCTCACGCTCACCCTAACAAAAAAAATTATAGTAACCTCACAAAGCTGCTCACGGATGGAAACAGTTATTGCAGGCTGCACATCAAACAAAAAGATTTTGTCAGCATAGAACAAAGTTGTAGAAATAATGCACAACTTTTACATAAAAAGAACTGCAGTGCAAGAAATATTCATATAACAGCAAATTCATGACTAAACCCATCAAAATTCTGCAGCCGTGGAAAATCACAAAGATTATAAAGGACAGTAACAAGAGTAGCATTTTACATGACTTGCAGGTGCAATAAAGTTAAATGCAAGTTTAGAGAAAAAGTGAAATAACTTTTATCTGGTAATCCATCCTGTTACTGTATAACA